GTATGTTTCAATTTTTATTGTGAATAAAATCAAACAATTAGTAATTACTCTCGTTTAGTTTCTATTTGGACAACTTGCATTAGCCATTTTGCTTGATGTTATCGTACGTTTAAAAACGGGAAAGCCTCTGTAAGTAACTTAGATTGAATATAAGTGTTCTAACTATGTCTAAAGGGAACAACCGTATTATTGCGTATTGAAAAATCGCAGAATTCTAAATCAATCTAAATATATTCATACAACAACAACAACAACAACAACAAGAATTAAATTCAATCTTCAATTACTAAGTGATGAACCACATAACAAGCACAACTAGAACATGCTGATTGAAGTTACCCTTAAAGGTTTCACTAATGACTGTTTATTAAAGAATATTTTTTGGAAAGAGAAAAGATATGCTTTCGAAATATGTATGGCTATGCTCTCTTTTCTTATACTTTTTCTACTCATCTCTCGAGGATGAGGGGTATATTCGTTTTGTCAAAACGTTCGCAACGCCCAGAAGTAAGCATCGGAGAGTCCACAAAATAAAAATACTCTTGATGAAATTATAAATTGATTTAAGCATGTCCATCTGTCCGTCTGTCGTAGACATTCTTTCGGTCGCAAAAATGCGGCTATCGACTTCAAATTTGGCAGACACTTATGAATTTCTTGCACGCAGGTTGGTATTGAAAATGGGCCAAATTGGTTCAAGGACACGCCCACAGCATCACGTAAATTGAGGAGTGTATCAAAATTTAATTGTTTCTTCAATAGGTTTATAACGCTCAGAAACGAGTTGAAAAACTCTGTAAAGTCTTAACCAGCTTCAACTTTGGAATGCCCCTAAATATGTGCGTCCGTTTGTCTGTCCATCTGTCTGTTTGCGAAACTTTGTAGTACATTTGTGGAAAACATTCTCCCATTATTAAAAATGAAGATGTCATCTACAAATTTGGAATTGGCCTAAACTTTTCAAAGGACACGCCTACAACGCCCACATGCCTATACGAGAGAAACTTTTATTTTGAAAACGGAAAAAATCATCTGCATCCATTCCGTACTATAGAGCATGAAAACTTTGTTCTTTTACCCTTTTTTGTCTGTTTTACGATAACAGTGATGGGGATAAAAGAATGGATTCCGATCGAAATTAATTTTTTTACTTCTTATATTTTTTCTTTTGTTTTTTCTTTTTTTCTTCTTTCAGTTTAGTTAAAATACAACGTCGATTATTTTTTTTAAATATAGTTCTTCATAAATTTGTGAGCACTGAATGGCTTGTGGAAAATGATAGATTCAAGAATTTATCTAGTCTGATAGCCGATGAAGACAAGTAATTATTTGCTTTCAATTTGGCCATGAAAATCTGATATCGAGTAATATATTACAGGAATAAATTAAATTTAAGGCTTGACTTCCAGTTCGATAAGGAATTCACTCACAATATGATTGAAGGATATAAACGATTTATCTTGAAAGAACCACTCAAACCTTCCAAGCAAACGATGATGCGTTTTAAAATTATTTTTATTTTACATCATCTGGCGCAGTCTATCATAATCGTTTTGGGCTTATGGTTGATTATAAAAGCCTTTACTCCTTTAACTACATAGTTTACTATATATAATTATATTTTATAATTGTGCAATAATTAAAATTTGGATAATTGAGATAGAAAAAGGGTTGACTTTTATTAAACAATTTTTATTTTCATTGAGAATTAAAAGATTAACTGTCCTATCCTTGCGGACTCGTTTAATAGAAATGCACTCATTCTATAGAAATACATTTACTCTCTTTTTCGTATCGGAAGCATGGAAAAACAATCTTCGCCCGACGATTTAAATTAAATTCAAACAAATTGGCAATTTTGCTTACGAATTTCGTATCCTCTGATAGTGTTTATATGAACAGACAATGTTCATAATTCCATATGGAATTAACATTTCATTAACGGCTCTCGTTAAGGACCTATCGTACGATATGATCACATTTTGAGTTGATGGTATTCGATTGCTTTCGTTCCTGTTCTTTGCAATATTTGTGAGATTATTGATGTATGTATTAAAAATTAATGTAAAGAAGAGGAAGAAAAGTAAATAGTTGCTTGCATGTATTCTAATCATTCTTTCAGATGAAAAAGGAATTTATTGAGAAAAATTGATACAATATATGTTAATCGCAAAAGCTTATCTTTGCTTGTCTTTATCCCAGGCCCCAAGCCAAATTCAATAGAAGAATACTGGGCAGGGCAACACGATCACATCGAAACTACTGACAGCCACATAGGCGCAATGCGCTAAAAAGGATAAAAACCTGCACGGACTGACAACCGTCTGCGAAGAAGATCCAAATTACTATTCGAATCACAATTAGGGGAACTCAAACGCTATCAGCCCCGCAACAATAGCAACAACAACGCCAACCGTCAAATGGCGCCATTGATTCCACCGGGTCTCTGAGTCTAGTTTTTTATATTATTGATAAATCTTTCATAGTGCGTGTACGTTAGAGGCTATTGTAAAGTGTATATTAACAAAAGCATTGCTTGCGCAATTGCAACTAACACGATAATGAGGGCATAATAAACATTTAATGCAAATTTTCTAATTAGCACTATTAATTTTTTCTTTAATGGAATAATTATTGGTTCAAACAAATGTCGCTTATATTAAGTAAGCGTTATTAGAGCTTAGAGCTCTATGGCGAGAGACCTGCGACACTTCACTTGCTCTTGCTTGAGATGCAAAGGTTAGCTCGTTGTTTTTGTACCTGAGGAGGACGTTAGCTAATTATTTGGTATAGGAAGGAATCTGTACTTCTTATTTTTTTACTCACTTCTTTTTTGTACACTCTTATAATTGCATTAGGCTAAGCTATTTTGGGGTATTTGTTTGTCTCCGATTGCTTTGATATTACAACTTTTTTTTTCCTGGTATTTGGAATGGAGAGTTGACAAAAAATGAGTCCAAAATTACATATGTGTTAATGAAAAAAAAACAAAATTGAATAATTACTGCTGGTAACATTTGAACAGACAGCACTCCTCTGATCCCACCGAACAGAGAATCTGATCTTCCTGCTAAAGTGATTCAGTCTTGCAACCGATGTGGATCGTAGGCCTGAATCTATCTAAGAATTGTTACTTCTCGAATTCTCAAAATAGATCTAATTCTCATCCTTAGATCTTCCTTTATGTTGTCCGGACAAAGGCAAAATGCTCTCAGGGAATCGTAGTTTGCAGATGCAAGATTCGATATCTTTGTTGTTAAAATAATTAGTTTTGCGCTGCGTTATGCGTTAGTATTACGGCCGGTTATTGTTGCCAGATGTCCAAGCTTGGAATGATTGAGCTGGAGTTTGCCCAACTCGTTTGTGGCCATTACAACAACAAAATAAAAAACTTTTATATTCTATTTACATTGCTACTAATAAACTATTACTACTGTTCGTCAAAATTGTCTGTCAAACCATAAATAATGATGTAATAGTGCACTTATTTTACGATACTTGCTTAACTGAAACCAAACAGCTTTGTCTTATTTCGTTAATTCCTTTTATATATACACATACAATACAATAAATAAATTAATAACTTATCTGTGATTTTACTCTTATATGACCTTCACAATATCACTGATAATTCAAAGATGAATTATATCCTTCTCTGCTTGAATAAGCGGCGACCACTTTCCATCACTTTCTTGAGCGTACTTCGTAAGGTTTTATTTATTTTCCTTTTAGGTTAATAGAGCGATTGTCTCATCTGTTATACTCATTATTTTTACTTCACCAATGGAACAAAAAAAAGATAAATATACCCTTTCTTCTTCTCTTCCTCCTATTTACTTCAAGCTTAGCCCATTAATTGAATAACTATACAGAACATACATTTCTGTTCCTTAGTATTATATTTGTATGTTACTTTCTTCTTTTATACTGACTGAGCTTATTTTAGTCTTATAATTGTTTCTAATTCATTTTACTTTTAGACCTTTTCTTTTTCTTTATTTAATATATATTAAGATTTTTATTTCAACTTATTATTTTAAACGTTTCTCTGTAGTGCGGTCACTGTTTCTTTATTTTTTAAGCGTCTTTGGTAGAGTTGCATGTACAATGTATTGTAAAATGTCAAAGAGCTTCATTGTAAAGTTCCTTTTTTTTCTATTCAACTCTCTTTTCCACAACAATAACTTTAAAAAACAGAAATATCACGTTTCCTTTTTTGTGAAAAAAAAAAAACTTAATCCTATTTTTCTAGTTGTTGTCCGTAACTCACCGTTAGCTGAGCTTCTCTTCTTGCTATCTCTCTGGCTAGTGCTTAATTAGTTACCAAATCGATAAAATCTTCCTTTGTTCCTTTACATTTCTTGCTATGACGACTTTGTTGCTTTGGTTACACTCAAATCTCTTAACTCGGTTTTCCTGTCTATGTTTACGTGAAAAATTGCTATAGTAACAGGGTACTAATTGCAGAAAGCAATATCCACCTTCATATTACGCAGACACTCTTTTTCTCATTTCTTTTTACAATTCTTCTCATTTTTCTTTTCGTAACTATAAGAACATTTTGGCTAAAGTAGAGAATTATAGAAAAGAGCATAGTAGCGATATTCCGATATCTCGCTAATTATTGTTTTTTGATTGTGAGCAATACTTAACACAGACCAACGGTAAGTCCATACACGCGTTTACAGCGTTTTTACCTTTTTTGTAGCAAAAAAGTGTAACATAGCTCTGAACGAGTAAAGAATTAGAAAACTATCTTCACCAAAAACGTAATGTCACCTTTTAAGCAGATGTTCGTTTGAGACAATCAGGTGAGTGTTGCCCGATATACAGGCATGAACACCACACCACGGAAAAAACCTCGGAGACGTTCCAATATGACCTAATGTAAATTGATTGAAGTTAAAACGGTGTGATGCGATTTATGCGCAACAGAATTTGTCGTTAGATTAAAAATTCCGTCTATCAAATTTTGGCAAAATATCTTAAAGATTGCAGCCCGTGTCATAAGTAATATAGGGTATAATAATCTTAAACATTGAGGTTTAAAAAATTTTTTACTTTGAAGTACATTTGACGCAAGTAAATTCTGAACACAGCATCATTTACATGAATACTCTGGGTGGTCTTATAGGAACGAACCGAATGAACTCAATTTTCTAAAGCATTGTCTTGATTCAAGCTGCCGTAATTTCAGCTGTAGACTAATAATTTCATATAACGCCGCAAGAAGCAGACCAAAAGTGTTTAATCAAATCTCTTTCGAAGCTATTGGAAGTGAGATTTTTTTGAAGTTGCATTGTCATGAAACTCATCATGTAATAAACCGATTGTTTGTCACTATGATACGTCTGGTTAATTAGATATTGTCTACATGAAAACATTCATATTGATGTCTATAGCGTTATATAGCATAAAAAAATCTTCATTACCGTTTACAAAATAAAAATTATTTGGCTGAAAAGTGTTCATCCTGCCGCTCGATTTTCACTCAAATTATCCTAGATTATAGACTAACGAATGTAGATGTCCGAGGCGTAGATATGGTTCTACCCTGGAACCACGCCTTCATGTGAAAATAGACGCGTAAAAGCAAAACTTGGTGGTGGGCTGGCTTTATGGCGGAATATTCCTCAAGATAATAATCTATAATTCCAGATCTTTTATTTCAAAAGCATTCGAGGAAAATGCAACCAGCGGAATAGCGGGGAAAATAGTATGCAGAGAATGTGTTCACGATCTCCAGATATATGCGCTCCTACTATATCGCGTAGATAATATGTAGAGAATGCTAAAAGAATAACCGGAGATGCATGGTACTCTCTAGGCCTATTCTGCGTTGCGTAGATAGTGTGTAGAACATATAACTAGAACAGCTAAAACCTTAAAAATCTCGCAGTTTTCATTATTTTACGTTTGCGAAAAGGAGTAAATACGGAACGTTGATTGGGTCTAGTTAGCCCTTCATATAATATACATCATGTTTGCTTTTAGGAAGATTCTGAAAATGGTAAAAATTATGAAAATATCTGGGATCAAAAAAGTTCACTTTAATTAGAGCAGATATCATTTTGATCGAATAATGCAAAATAAAAAGTAGTGATAATTTCTGTCTCATATAAAAATTAAAAAGAAAGTTACAGCAGCGCATACCTTTAGATTGTGCAATATGTAATTTTTTTCTAATTGGAAAAATTGGTTTTTAAATAAATTCTGCTGCTTGCATAGATTTTAGAGGCTACTCCACACGTTCTCACTTTTGAAAAGGACATTCTCCGCATGTATGAAAATATTCGCTATAATAGAATTTATTTAATGTTCCCTTCGAACCTGCAAACATATTTCTACGACTTAATGTCAATCAAGTTCAAGTTTGTATTGAATTTGGGGTATCGCTTTTATGAACCAGCCAGTTCGATCGGTTAATTTCTTGAATTATACGTATTCGACTTCTCTACGGGTATGTTACCTGAGGGCGATCACGGATTTTATCTCGGACGGTGAGATGTTAACGAACGAACGGTTCAGGAAAGAAGAGAAGTGAATGTACGATCTTCTTCTCCTCTACGCCTTCGCTCAATCAGATTGTCGTTGCCAATCGGTGGTTTAACCACATTCGAAATAGGTTCGTTGACTTAACTCGAATGCTGCATTCCCATCCCCTTCCGTCTTACAGTGCCGTAGCTTACAGTATCAAACAGGCAACACCATGTCTGCTGCCTTGAACTAATGACGTATAGATATATGAAAGTTGAAGATATCGAATTAACTTAATACTTAATTTATTAATTTATAATTAAAGGTACAATAATAATATAAGAAAATGACAATCTTAAACTTACGTGTAGGACACAGACTTGTTTTGGTCCTTACAAGGTGCTTTATAGCACTCACGCTAAAGACAAATGAAATTTTTACAAAATTAATCGACTTCAGAAGGACTCTGGTTTTTATTAAGTCAATCCATTCAGAATCGTTTTTTGAATCGATTGCATGTTTACTCCGTCTGATGTCCATCATGTATTTTCGTATTGCACTTTTTCTTTCTGGTGTAGATTTGTACACGGACGC